AAAAAAAAAAAAAAATGCTGGTGAGGATGTGCAGAGACAGGAACCCTCATACACTGTTGGTGGGATGGTAAAATGGAGCATATGTGCCCATGCAAGTTCATCACAGCACTATTCACGATAGCAAAAAGATGGAAGAGCTAAATGCCCAGTGACCACACAGTGGAAAGGTACAGAGCGTTAAGGAACAATGATGAATCCTCAAAGCACAGCATGGGTGACCTTAGAGGACGTGTTGAATGCAATGAATCACAAAAGGACAAACATTGTATGAGACCACTATTGTAAAAAGTCAAGGAAAAGGTTTCACAAAAGATACTTGGTGGTTACCAGGGATGGTGGAGAAGGGTGGGTAAACAACTAACTAGAGGGTAGATACATTAACTTGGATACAGGGAAGGCAAAAATAAGATGAGCTCGTCTGAAGCAGCTTTATGACTGGCTGAGCAAGGCCACCTACCCACAGTAGTTAAGGTTGTGTGTCAGCTTGGCTGCCCCCCACCCCCACCCCCCCCCCCCCCCCGCGTTTTGAGTGGCTGGGCAGCTGGTTGTAATTGTCCATCAGCTCCATGGTGGAATCTACTGTGAGCAGCTGAGTAGCTACCTCAAGGATGTGGTCTGCTTCCAGTATGTAAGGAGAAGCTTTGAGAAAGGTCTCAAGGTTTTTGGCATGCTTGGAACCTGCATTTAGCTGAGTCTTCATTCAGCAGCCTACCATGCTGGCTCTGCTGATCTTAGGACTGTTTCTGGACTTGAACTAGTGGCCTGCTGTGTTGTTTCATAATCTTGGGACTGTGCCATTGTACTTGCCAGCCTTGGGTTTGTCATCCTCAGCAGTCAACAGCTGCCTGAGTTAAGAGTAGCCTCCAGCATCAGTGGGCCAGTAGCAAGAGGCAGAGCTGAAGCCCAAAGCCAAAGGGCCTTCACCCAACCCCTAGAGCTGGCACTTTGAACTCAAGACTTCTAGCCTTCTAAACTGTAAGAGAATAAACTCCTGTTTGTAAAAGCCACCCCCTTGTGGTATGTCTGTTACTAGATAACCAAAACACCACCTAAATTTTAATTTAAAAAGGACTTGGCATCCAATACTGTAACGTACACGGTATGTTCTTGCATGACATTGTCTAGTGGAAGTAGAGTGAGCATCTTCCCTGCCTGCAGGTGAACTGACCATGCATCTCAATTTGCCTTACTTAAGTCATAAGCCCCCACAGAATCATCTGTCCCTTCACTTCAAAAGTTGGATTAACCAAGAAATTTTGGTCATTATCATCAGGAACATTAATCACCCACTGGGGCTATTCCCAGCAAGACTATTAAAAGCGCTTGTAAGTTTTAAGTGCTGTTTGAAAAGAATATTTATAAAAGTCAGTGACTGAGAAGTAGGCTCTGTGGACATAAAGGAGTTTGAGCTTTTGAGGGCATCAGCACTTCAAATGCAGTGTACATGTTTACCTTGTATGGCGCTGGTTGGACTGGGTAATTTCACAAAGATGAAAACCGAAATCCAGACAAGTTAAGATGTGAGTTTCTGGAACAAGGTGACCAGCACAAGCAGATGCCTGATTAATTGAGATTCTTTTTGCCACTAGAAGAGGGCATTGTCTTCCAAGAATACAACTCTAGCAAAAGTGGGGAAACCATTCTCTTCTCCTGCTCTATGAAAACTGAAAAGTATTAGGTTCTTTATGTCAATGAAAAACTGAGTGAGAGGAAATAGTCTTGAGAGAGAATACTTGATTGGACTCAAGGATGAACTCGGCGGCTTGGAGAAAGGCTTGGGGAACAGAAGGGAGACAGACTGTACTGGGTTCTGAGGGGCTGTGTTCACCCCCAGGACCAAGAGCATCGGTAGCCTGTGGGCCCCAACTAGAAAGCCCCAGCACAGGCCACTCGGGTGTAGCCTGTTCATTGCAGCACTGTTTATAACAAACAAGATGGAAGCAAGCCAGACCGCCACTAATACGTCATCAAAACAAAAGCCTGAGTCCAATCAAGCCTCTAGAATCCATTCTAGATCTAAGTACTGATTTACAGTTGATACTGTACAGGCAATAGACTGTTAAACCACCGTGCAGTCAACATCTAGGTGCAAACAAAATGCAGAACAAATCGCAAAGGAGTAAGAACTTGGAGGGAAATCCAGTACATGCGACAGACTGTTTCGATCCTTGACTCCCTAAGCTGCTCCCATTCTCTTAGTTTTTTAAAACCTTGAATATTTGGTAAAGAATCAATGCCTCCGTATTAGGTGTGATAATATATGCTCAAATATTTACACGTGAAATGTTACGGCGGGGATTTGCTTCAGATAATCTCAGTTGGGGGTGTGGGTGGGAGCACAGATTACGTAAGACTAAGACTGATCCTGACTTGGGAACTTGAAGCTGATGCCCAGGGCTTTCATACCATTCCTCCCTCCTGCTGTGAACGCGTAAAATCTCCCACGATAAAGATTCAAACAAGTGCACACTTCAGGCTAGAAATCACACCTGCGGGCCAGATGCAAAGCAAAAGCTACAACTTCCACACAGCTTCCTAACACATTCAACAGCAGACGAATGTACATGAGGATAACAGGATTTAATGATTACCAAGTGCAGCTGGAATATGCTGTTCCACCCATTCTTGATTTGGACAGGCTTTTAGACTGTGGGCACCTTAGAAAGTCCACACCCCTGCTCCTGTCCAATTTCTGAAAAGCAAAGCCAGCCAGCTGACTCATCTGCCTGGGAGGAGGGGCCTGTTAGAGCCCTGAGATGGAGGCTGGGGCCAGGGGACCACGGGCCAGCTGGCATCAGGAATAAGGTCTCGTAAAACAGCATCTGGTACCAGGGGATAAAATAGCCGGGTCTCTTTAACATTTATTAATCCAAAAATACTTAAAATTCCACTTTGCACCCCAGGTTCTTGGGCTCCAAAGGAGGGGACAGCAGCTGGCCTTAAGCATCAGTGCTCATACCTGGCTGAGGCAGCAGGATCAGGTAGTGAGGCTCAAACTAGGGAAACCCCAGATCAGGCCCACGCTCTGCAGAGGCCCTGCTGGGGGCAGGTCACCAGCCTTACAGCACTCTTGGCCTATTTTTGCTACAGGAAACGGGGGCCGGCCCAAGAGTGGGCCGCCTTGGGGCCATCCACCCTGTACAATGAGGCCCCTGGGTTGGGGGGGCTCCTCCATGCTCACTGGTGCTCAAAGCTGAGTTTCTTCAAGAGCCAGGCACAGAGTCAGCCCAGGAGAGGCAGCTCCGGGGGCGGCAGCCCTGGAGACAAAAGCTGGTCTCCAGCTCCCCTTCGGCTTCTGTGGGAAGGACCTGGAGCTCAGGCCTTTCTTCCTCCTCCTTCTTAGCCCAAGTCCACTTTCAAGAGCCCCAGAGCTGATCCTGCAGTCTGCCGGGTGCCCACTGGACCACGGCAACTCCACTTCAATGCTCACAGCCACCAGGAAGCCAGGGCCAGTCACTATCTGCAGCCTCGTCATTGCAGGCCAGCTGGGTGCATGGGCCAGGGCCCCTGGTCAGCCCCGAGGCCTGGCCCGGGAGGCACCTGGGCCACAGGCTGCACCCGCTGCTGTGACTGCCAGAGGTGACGAAGCTCCTTGAATTGGTCCACCATGCGGTCTTTGAGGTCTGGGTTTGAGATCTGAAGGCGGGTACTGTCTGCCGACCAGGAAAGCTCTCCTGAGAACATCTCCAGCAGCAACCGGGCTGCCACGGGGACCACCTGCGGGGAGAAGAGGCAGGGCAGGGAGAACCAGATGTGCACGAGGGCATCAACCAGGGGGCAGGTGGTGGACTGCATCTGCCATGAAGAAAAGCAGCCAACCAGTTGCCATTGAGTTCACTCTGACTCACGATTGACCCCATGTGGGTCAGAGTAGAACCGTGCCTCATAGGGTTTTCAATGGCTGTGACCTGTCAGAGTAGATTGCCAGGCCTAATCTTCCAAAGCCTCCTGAATCGACGCAAATCTCTAACCTTTAAGTTAGCAGCTGAAAGCGTTAACCATTTCCACCAGCCAAGGACTCCACCAGGAGGAAGGGACGCCTGTGTCTACTTTGCACAAAGGCTGCTGACATGTGGGCAGGCCTGCACCTTGATTATCTCTGCAACCAAGTTCCCACAGACCAGAAAGCCCTGAGCTTCCACCCTGGGGGCTGGGGGCCGGGGACCCCCCGCTCCCAGTATTCAAGCCGAGGCCTCAGCAGACCTGCACAGTGATAAGCTTCTTCTCCCGGGGTTTGCGGTCAGGCCACTCCTCCCCGAAGCAGAAGAAGATCTCAAACGGCGGCGGGGTGTCAGTCTGGCCCTTCTGGAACAGGATGAGCTCTGGCGCGAGATCGAGAGCAGAGTGAGAGGCCAGGACCTCGCTCCCCGGCGGGCGGCAGGAAGCCGGAGGGCCGACGTGGGGCCTCACCGTGGAGAAACTGCTCGAGGCTGAAGAGCTTCGTCCTCACCTCCCGCTGGATGGGGTTGGGGTGCTCGGTGTGGGCCGCGGCGCAGGGCCCGCTCCAGAACACCTTGCACTGGCACAGGCGGATGGCGTAGAGGTCCTGGCCCTGCAGCTGCAGGATGAGCCCGCGGTCCAGCACGTCCAGCAGCTGGTTGGTGTAGAAGCGCTGCTTGTCACTGGGAATGTCCTCGGGGCTGGGGAAGCGCACCTGCTCCAGGCTCACGGGGCCAAAGAGCTCCACCTGCTCCTGGGTGGCCTCCAGCTGGCTGTAGAAGAGCCGGCAGCCGTGCGGGTTGCTGATGGTCAGGGCACGGGGTGGCCGGCCGCGGTACTGGAACTTGATCTCCAGGTCGGTCACTGTGGGCAGAGGGCAGCCCACCCACAGCTCCTGAGCGAGCCCAGGCCTCTCATCCACAGCCCCTAAGGTCCCCGGCCAAGCCTGCCCCCCAGCTCTCCCACTTCCTCCCCTCAAGGACGGATGCCAGGAACATCCGCTCTTTCCTTCTTTGCAGGGCTTCAAACCAGTTCACTCTGTTTCGAGCCCCTGTTGAGTCTCTGCTTTTCCACTCCAGGTCGACTGCATCAGAATCTACATTTTAACAAGATCCCCAGACCAGGCCAGACTCACTGCCATGGAGTCGATTCAACTCATAGCGACCCCTCCTTGGGTTTCCGAGGCGGTATCACCATGGAGGTAGATTGCCCAACCTTCCTTCCGAGGAGTGGCTGGTGGGCTTGAACCGCCAGCCTTCTGGTTAGCAGTCAAATGCCTTAGGCACTACGCCAGCAGCACTCCCTTGTAGCTCCCCAGGTGAGCCTTATATAGATCAGAAGGGCCTGGAGATCCTGTTAAAATGTTGATTCTGATGCGGTCTGTCCGGAGTGGACGTGCAGATTCTCGGTGGGGGGGTCACACAGGAATGAACTGGTTTGGGGTCCTGCTTCTCTGCCACCCTCCGCTGTCCGTGAAGCCCGCCACCACCCCAGGCCCGCTCTGCCCAGCCCACCCACAGTCCTTACATGGCAGCATGTGGGGGCTGATCAGCAGGTCTGGCAGGAGTTGTTCGCCCGCAGGGGGCAGGCTGGCGGCCAGGGGCCCAGGCTCCAGGCTCAGCAGGACCTCAGGGAGCAGCTCCCCAAAGCCAGCAGGGTTGCCAGGGGGAGGGACTAGGAGGGTGGGCTCTGGAGCAGCGGGGGCTGGCACCACAGGTGGCTGGAGAGTGGGGGGCCACTTGAGTTCCTCTTTGGGTACAGAATAGGGTCCCATGGGGGGGCCAGGCTGCACTGCTTCTGCGGAGGATGAGGTAGGCGGAGCTGTTAATGCCACTTCTAGAACTTTCTCCCAAGTCCACCTGCTCCCAGCCCTGGGCCTCTCCCCAGCTTCCCTTGCACACTCCCAGTACCTTACACCAATCCCTCACCCCCACCTCCAGACCCACCTGTGAGGCTCAGGCTTGGTAACATCCTTTGGAGCTGATGGGAAGACAGGCAGAGGAGGCAGCAGGAGGTTGGGAGAGAGAAGGCCGTAAAGTGATGTGATACTGAGGAAAGAACCCAGGTAGGGGAGCCACCCAGCAGTGCCCGGCCTCCATCCAGCTCAGCGGGCCTGCTCCTGACTCCAGCCCTAGCCCTGTCCTCCTAGGCAGCATCAGAGCTTCAGTGCCTCCGTTGCCTCACTTGCATTCTACAGACAGTAGTACCTACGGGGCCCAGCTGTGGGAGGACCAGTCAGCCACAGGTGTGTATGCTTGTCACAGCAAAGCCCAGGGAGGTGCGAGGTGGTGACCCTGTTTACCATTCAGAATCCTGAGACCACTCAGGGAGGAGCTACTAGAATGGCAGCAGCAATGGGGCTGCTTGAGCCCGAAGCAGAGCAGGGCAGGGGGGCGGCCACAGCAGAGCAGCTACTTTCCTGCCCCCACTCACCTCTTCCTCTTCCTCCTCCTCCTCCTCTCCTGGCCCAAAAGTGTAGTCCTCACTGGGCTGTGCTTCTGTGTAGTGTGGGAAAGAAAAAAAATGACAAGAAAGAGTCAGCTGGTGAGGACGGAGGCCACCAGAGCCCTGGGGGCCCCCTGGGCAGCCAGAGAGGTAGCCTGGAGCTCCCGCTATGGCTGGCCTCTTCCCCAAAGCTGTCCCAACCCAGGAGGAGGAGAAGGGTCCAGCCACCCCTTGGTACTCAGCTCCCTGACCCTGTTCTCATGGACAAAGGCAGGGGTGAGGAAGACAGATGCCCTGGATAGGGCTCTGGGGCCCTGGTCTGATGCCACAGATGACACATTCCCTGCCCATTCCTGAGAGCCTGGCAGGCATGTCCCCAACAACTGCCTGCTGCAGGGGCCCTGGGCCTTCCTGGCACCCACAGGGCCAGGCACACTACCTGTGGGTGCAGGACCATTGGAGCAGACCTCGTAGACCTTGTAGGGCTGAGGCGGCATGTCCCGGGGCCCATCATAGATGAGGCGGAAGTCGCGGCTCTTGTTAAGGGCGCAGCGCAGGTTGGCCTTCCACTTGGCAGGATCAGCCTCATCTACGCCCTCCGTGTACTTCCCCGTCTCCTTGGCCCAGGCCTGAGCAGGAAGAGAAAACAGCTATCAACAGAGCCCCCCACCTGTGCCTGACCCATCTGAGTCATCTGAGCCACACCTGAGCCCTGCAGCCAAGCGCCTCCACCTGCCACCAGTCCATCCCCAGCTCACGGGGTTCCAATAAGCCACGTGAAGCTGAAGGGCTCTGACAGGCATACCAACATACTACTTCTGAGAGGTCAGCGGAACGTGTCGGTAAAGGCCATGCAATCTGGAGCAGGACTGTGTATGAGTCTGGAATCTGCCACCTGCCAGCTGTGTGCAGGGGCCAAGTCACTTGCCTGTCCTTGCCTCAGGCTTCCCATCGCCCCACCTCACAGGGTAGTATGTGAAGACTACAGGGATTAATGCCCATGAAGCACTCAGCACTATACCCATGGGCAGGAAGACGCGGCGCACTTCTGTGCTGGTGTTACTACTGTGAGGGCAAACTGGTGAAGTCTCTACCCTTTGGCTCAGCAGTTCGACTTTAAGGAATTTATTCAGATACACAAGCATCCATACAAAACTACACACACACACACACAGTTGTTCTTTGCACCACTGTTAGTCAAAGCAAAAGACCCAAACAACCTAAAGGTGCATTGATGGGGCTGGTTAAATGATTAATTATAGCTAAACCATAACATGAATACTGGGCAAAAAAAAAGGAAGACCTTTTTACACTTTACATACTCCAGACTATTAGGTGCACACCAGGAGCAAAGAGAAAGAAGGAACCCAAAGTCTCAGAGAAGAAACTAGTCTACAGAGCTAACAGCCTATAAAGGGCACAGGCTCATCTACCCTGAGATCAGAAGAACTAGATGGTGCCCAGCTACCACTACTGACCATTCTAATCAGGGCCACAGTAGAATGAGAGAAAAGTACAGAGCAGAACTCAAAATCTTAGACCATCCAGACCTAATGGACCAGTTAAGACTAGAGGACTGACTCCCAGAGCCTACTGCCATGAGACAGTCTTTAAACCTAGGACCGCACCTATCCCCTGAGTGCACTTTTTAACGAAATAGCACATTGGCACCACAAGATAGGTGCCCTACTTAAAAACCATCTGCATGAGACCAAAAGGTCATCACATACTCAAGCAAAGATGAGACGGTAAGGGAGGAGGGCAACTAGAGCACTGGAAATGGAGCAACCAGAACACAATCAAAGGGCGTGTTGGCAGAGTGTGATAAATGCAACCAATGTCACCAATAAGGGGTGTGGAGGTTGGCAGATGGAACCTAACTGGCTGGGTAAACTTTCACCAAAAACTCAAGAAATTGTTATTATTATTATTTAATCTAAAGAGCAGGAGCTCTGGTGGCATAGTGCCTAAGGCATTTGACTGCTAACCAGAATGCTGGTGGTTCAAAACCCACCAGCCACTCCTCAGAAGGAGGACTGGGCAATCTACTTCTGTAGAGATACCGCCTCGGAAACCCAAGGAGGGGTCTCTGAGTCCGATCCAACTCGGCAATGAGTTAATCTACAGAACAGGTTTACTGGTCTGATGGAGACTGGTGAAACCTCTGAGAATACAGCCCTTAGACAACCTTCAGGCTGGGAACTGAACTTGGCCCTGTGGTTCCACCTTTAGCCAAACAATGGATAAGCTTATAAGGTGAACAATAAATAATACTAGGAAGTATGCACTCATTAGACCAATCAACCACATAAGATCAAAAGGGCAGCATCTGCCCAGGGATAACGCTCAGAAAGCAGGAAGGGACGGGAAAGAGGGTGAAAGGAAATGGTAAACTCGGAGAAAGAGTTCTATTGTGGGGACTGAAAACAGTGGCACAAAACGTGTGTGAATTGTTGAATGGAAAACCAATTTGCTCTGTAAACTTTCACCCAAATCACAATGAGAAAGTACACGCACACACACACACACACACATATGAGACTAAAAAGTCAACAATTACTTTAAAGATGAAAAGATGAGGGGTCAGGAAAACTGAGCAACCAGAACACAATTGAAGAGAATGTTGACACATTATGGAAAATGTAACTAATGTCACTGAACAATTTGTATAAAAACTGTCAAACAGGAACCTAATTTGCTGTGTAAAACTTCACCAAAAACACAATCAAATGTTATTCAGAAAAAAGAAATACCATGTACAGAAATACACATCAACCATTTTTCTTAAACACGGGGGAGAGGATAGGCCTGCACTTGCTTATCTGGGTATAAACATCTCTCAGGAATGATAAAGACACTTGTAACTACCTCCATGGAGGGAGGCTGGCTGGGGGACAGGGAGGGTGAGAGACTTCCCTGTAAACCATTTTACACCTTTTTCATCTTCAACTGGGTGACTGTGTTCCCTGTTCAGAAATAAGAAATGCATTTTAAAAAGTACTTTGAAAAGATAAAGATCAAGTATAAAGAGTAAGAAACATGGACCTAAAGCTTTAAAAATATGCCTGCCCTTTGACCCAGTAATTTATTATTATTATTATTATTATTATTGTGATTTGGGTGAAAGTTTACAGAGCAAAGTCACTTTCCGTACAGCAGCTCACATACACCTTGTCTCATGACATTGACTGCAATTTCCCACAATGCAACAGCTTCCCTCCCACTTCCTCCCCGTAGTTACCTCTTCCCTGTGTCCTTCCCTCCATGCACTCCTGCCCCCTGAGCTGTCTCCCTGTGCATACACAACCCTTCTATTCTCCCATGATTTTTCTCTCCAAGGGGTGTGTCTACCTAATGTAAACGTTCAGCTCATATGCCTGTCTTTATTTAGTTTGGCTGGAAGCCACAGGAGTAGGTTCAGTTCCAGACCTGAAGGGCAGCTAGGGGCCATAGTCTCAGGAGTTCCACTAGGCTCTATCAGACCAGCAAACCTGGTCCTTTTTTTTAAATATGATTTTGAGTTTTGTTCCCCATCATTCTCCCACTCTATCCAGGATTGACCCAGTAACTCTTAAGAATGAGCCTTAAGGAATAATTCAGGATACATAAGGTAATAGAAGCCCTGGTAGTACAGCGGTTGAGTGCTTGGCTGCTAACGGCAAAGTCGGCAGTGCAAACCGACCAGCGACTCTGTGGGAGAAAGATGTGGCAGTCTACTTCTGTAAAGATACTCAGCCTTGGAAATCCACTGGGGAAATTCTACTCTGTCCTGCAGGGTCTCTATGAGTTGGAATCAACTTAACAACGAGTTTCATTTGGGTTTTTTAAAGTGACAGAGAGTGTACAGTGCTGGTCCTACAGTGAAACACTAAGAGCAACTTCAAGTGTCCCAATCCCGGGGACTGGGTGACCGCCCCGTGCTAACTCCATCAGTGGTACCCCTGGGTGGTGCAGTGACTATGCGCAGTGGGATGGACTGCCTTTATATATAGCCCTTCTAGCCGGTCCTGTAACTCCCACCAAACGATGGGGTGGGGCGATGCAAATAAGGGGGTTGGACAACTTGCAATAATGTAAATAAGGTGCATGGCATCCTTGTTGCGGGGTTGGGGACAATGTAAATAAGGTATACGGAACCCTAACAAGGAAATTTGTCAGGTTTACCATCACACTAGGCTTAAAATGAGCCACCCCACAAGCAGAAAGGGGGGACCTCGCTACCACCAAGAAGAGATGGGAATGGAGCATGTTCCTTTGTACCCAAGATCCCTGCACTGAGAACCTCTTAGACCCAGAAGACAGAGAGAGAGAGCTGCGACACAGGAGACAATCAGACGGTGAGACACAGCAATGACAGAGGAGGCAGGGCTGCTAACTCAGAGGAAGGCAGTTCCAGTGGGTGCGCTGCCCCCGAGCGAGAAAGCTTTGGGCAGAAGGCTTCCTGCAGAGAAGGGTGCCTCTGGGCACTAACTGGTGGAGTGAAAGAACTCCGTAACACATAACTGAGCAGGGCAGAGGCCAGGCTGGCCCAAGAGGCCCAGTGGGTCAAGGGGCCAATGGGCTGAGGGCTGAGAGACTGAGTGCCAGAGAGAGGCCTGCCTGTGGTCACGGCCAAGAAGTGCCCTGACCAAAGAACTGTATCCTGAGTTGTTCCTGAACTATATAACCTGTTACTTCCCTAATAAACATCATAATTGAGTATTGTGGATTCTGTAGCCATTGCAATGAATCATCAAACCCAGCAGAAAAGTAGAGAGTGCCCTGGGAGAGACGACTACTGTCAGAATTGTAGAAGGTTGGAGGGTGGCGACATGTCTGACCTCCACCTCATAGGTATCAGCCTTGGGTTGCTGATGCTAATAATGATTCCACTCCCTCACTGGGAAGTCATATGAGGAGGTCTGACACCTCCTCCATCTTTACACATGCTTGGCTGCTAACTGGAAGGTTGGAAGTTTGAGTCAACACGGAGGTGCCTTGGAAGGAAGGCCTGTCGCTCTACTTCCAAAAATCAGCCACTGGGTACAGAGCACAGTTCTACTGAGACAGGTGGGACCACCATGAGTCAGAATCGACTGGACAGTAACTGGTGAGAGTGGTGTGGACATAAGCTCTCCTTCCTAGTATACGCCATGCCCACTGGAAGATTAGAGCTCCTGATACTTGGTGGAAAATGCAGAATATATGGTTTGCTTCCCTTTTTGCATTTCATATACACACAGGTAGAAAACTGAAAACATAGTCATAATATTAAGTACATCCACAGGTTAGCCTCTAATGCTAAGATTAGGGGTTGTCATCTTTTGGCTAAGGCATTTGCACAATGAACATGTACTCATGTGTACTAAGGATGAAGTAATGAGATAAGGACAGGGGATGGGTTACAGGAAGGGCCCCACCTTGCTCCAAGGTACAGGTTGGAAAAAGATATACCCTGTGGCTATGCCTGTGTCCCCTTAGTCTAGGCCTGGGGTCACCTGCAGCTGGGAGAGTGGCCCAGCCGCAAAGAGACTTGGTAGGGTCAATTTCTGGGCAGGGGGTGCCTCAGAGGTCCAGGCAGCACCCCCAGTCTGGGGCTTACCTTGAAGATGGTGTTGTCTCCATCCTGGCTGGGGCCGTGCCGTGTGGCGTGGCGCCAGGGGATGTAGAAGAATCTCCTCTCCCCGTTGACCCACTGAAGCCCTGGGTACTGGCAGCTGTTCACCTGGGCTACCAGCCAGGGCTTCAGACGCACCCGGCGGGGTGCGGGCGGTACCCCAGGAGCAGGCTGGTTCATGGCAAAGGGGTCTGCAGGAGAAAGCGGGGGAGTATCAGAGGATCTGCCACTAGGGGACACTCCTTTCCCCATGGACCGGGGCACTGAGGTCCCTCTAACTGGTCTTGGCATTCTCTTCCAACCATCTGTGTCTGAGCTTTGGGTTTTGGGGTAAAGGAGAAGGGGTTGACAGCCGTAGTGGACACTGTAGGTGCCCTACACAGCCAGGTGTTCTTTCCTAGCTGTGGTGGCAATTCTCCAACTGCTGTGAGGTTTGGCTGCTTAAGAAACAGCTGCCCCTTCTCCAGAGAACTGTCCTTAACGGCCTCCTCTCAGGACAGGTCCATCTGCTATGGACTGAACTGAGTGGTGGGTGTGCTTGTATGTGTGTATTCATAGGCACACAGCTGCCCCCAAGGACCATGCCTTTCTCCTACTTGGAATCTTTGTTTCCATAAGTAAGGAGAAGGGGTAACCAGTGAGGGTGGCATAGGGAAGGGATGGACAGGGGACATTCCCAGAGGCCAAGGGTGAAGACATGTGCCAACACCCACCCCTTGTGAGTGGGAACCCCAGCCCATTAGCCCACCCCCAAGCACCCATACTTCACAGTGCCATGAAGGACCCCTAAACTCTTCTCACTGAGATAAGCCATTTGGGGTTCTTAGCCCCCTGCATAGCCCACTCATCTTATTTACCTTCCAGGTGGGCAAGCAATCTCCCCAATGATAGGACTTTCCCTACTGCATCCTTACACACACACATACACACCCCTCACCCACTCCCTGGACACCCTGCCTTGGGCTGGACCAAAGAACCACCAATCAGTACACCCCCAGAGACTCAAAGCATCCTGCCCCCTACCCTGGCTATTTATACCACCTCAGTCTGTTCTGTCAAGCACCTTGTGACTCACAGAGGAAGGGAGAATGAAAGAGGGGAGGGACCAGACCCCAAAGGAAGGCCTGTCAGGGAGGAATGGCCGAAGGACACAGGGTGCCCAGGCTGGTGAAGGATGATTTGACGGGGTGAGGGAGGGGAGCTATCCTTCACATTTGAAGCACCACCATGTCACAAAGAGACTAGGTTCAGGGCCAACACCAAGTCACCTCCCCTGAGGTAGACTGGACGAAGATAACAGAACTATCTGAACTAAGGCCACCCAGCCATACACTGGGCTGCTGCCTGAGGCCGAAGCCACCTGCCTCTGCGGTACTCAACCCTGCTACGCTTCCAGGCCGGTCTTGGGTGGGAGGCTAGCCAAGATGACCTCTCAGCCTGGGTCTCCCTCTGCCACTCCGGGCCCACTTGTGCCTTGGGGCACCAAGCCTGCTTCCCTGCAGGTCCCCGCGCAGTATCTTTTGGGGCTGCTGAGTGGCCTCTCCCACCACCAAGGGGCTCCCTCTGCAGCCTCTCCTCCGCACTGTGCCAGCTGAGCTGTCAGGGACCTGGGAAGGGGATGGCCAGCCGCTTATTGGCCAAGAGCCGGAACCCAGAGGGTGGGAAAGCTCCCAGCTCTACCCCCCAGACCTCGGAAGGCTGGTGGCTCAGTTCCCCTTTCTACACCAGCCTCCACCCAACTCCAGGGGAAATGAAAGTGGCCAGACCGGACAACTCGGAAACCAGAGGCACTGTGTGTGAGCTGGGGCGGGGGGGGGGGGAGCTGTTGTGGTTGTGAGGTGCCACTGAGTCCGCTCTGACTCACAGAGACTCTGTGTACAACAAAATGAAACCCTGCCCAGTCCTGTGCCAGCCTCACAATCGTTGCTGTGCCTGAGCCCATCATTGCAGCCACTGGGTCAATCCATCTCATTAAGGGCCTTCCCCTTTTTTCAATGGCGCTCCACTTTACCAAGCATGACATCCTTCTCCAGGGAATGGTCCCTTCTGACTACATGACCAAAGTAGGCGAGACAAAGTCTGGCCATTCTCGCTTCTAAAGAGCAATCTGGCTGCATTTCTTCCAGGACAGATGTGTTCATTCTTCTGGCAGTCCATGGTCTCTTCAGTATTCTTCACCAACACCACAATTCAAAGGCATCAATTCTTCTTCGGTCTTCTGTATTCATTGTCAAGCTTTCACATGCACATAAGGTGATTGAAAATACAAAGGCTTGGGTAAGACACTCCTTAGTCTTCAAAGTGACATCTTCGCTCTTCAACACTTTAAAGGGATCTTTTGCAGCGCATTTGCCCAGTGCAAAATGACATCTGATTTCTTGATTGCTGCTTCTACGAGCATTGACTGCGGATCCAAGTAAAAATGAAATCTTTGACAACGTCAATCTTTTCTCCCTTTATCATGATGCTGCTTATTGGTCCAGCTGTGATGGAGGGACAGGCAAAAATCCACAGTGGGTCCCCAAGACCAAATTCTGACTTTCTTAGCCCTGCCACCCTTCAGTTCTTACATTGGGTGTCGTTGGTCACACTGGGTACCCGCCATTATATTTGCTGTATATGTAGCCCCCTGAGAGGCCTTGGTCCTAGAATAGAGGGTGAGAGTCACCTCTCTATTCCGGCCAATTGGGGTGGGCCATAAGAAGCTCTGTCACTGCAGAGGGGAAGGCAAGCTTCCCTGATGACCCCTCTCACACACAGGGGCCCAATGGGGAGGGGAGGGGAAGTGAGGGAAGGGGAGCAGCTGGGTAGCCCAGAAAGGCCTACCCCTCCTCTGCCCCAGCCCAAAGAGGAAGTCAGGCCAAGTCCAGTGCCTGCCACCACTCTTCAGTCCAAAGCAAGCTTTTGAAATGATAGCTCTAGCCTCACTGTCAGAAAGCAGTCCCTTAGGCGGCCTGACGAGGGCTCTGGAGAAGAGGCCTCACAGCTACCCTGACCAGGGCTGAGGGGGGAGCTGCCCACCACGGCTCTGCGGAAGGATTTCCAGCTCAGGGGCTTCGCCTGGAACCAGACCTCAAGGGCCTTTCCCTCAGAGGGCTGAGGCTCAGCTCAGCCCCCAGGGGTTTCTTCTGGCTGGGAGGCCTGACTCAACCACCTGAACTTAAGACCCTCCATGAGCTCCGAATCTGTGCCTTGGTGCCCCTGTCCCCACTTTTCCTTCAGATATGAAGAGCCTCCCAAGGAGCGTGTTTTCCTTAATGCACTCCCCCAGGTTGCAAATGGTTTATTAAATTACGAAGCAATAAACAAAGAAGCAATCACGTAGACTCCCAGAGGGCCAGAAGATAAAACCACGGCCTTCAGAAGTCCAATCTGACACCTGCATGTCTGCCCTGAACCCCTTGACCACCAGTCTGCCTCCTCAGGAAGGGGCTTGGAAGCCTAGGGTGAAATGTACACAACTTAGGTCTGGGGATGAGTCCTAGAGAGTGGGGGAAGCCAGTAGCCCCTCTCCCTGCTTCCACGGAAACGTCTACAGAGGATGATGGGCTGTCCGGGGTCTCAGGAAGCCCCCCCCCAAGTGGGCGCAGCTGGAAGGATCCAGAGGGGCAGCCTAGGAGGCACTGCGGGGATGGGGAGTCCCCAAGGTCACACCCAGGTCCTGCTCAGGTCCCAGGAGACAGCAGCCTAGGAGCCTGGAGGAAGTTCTTCCATCCAGGGTGGTAGGTGGGCACCAGGCCCTGTCACCTACTCCCTGATACCCTACCCTTACCCTCTCCTGGGGTTTGTCTAGTTCACTTGGCCTCCCCCATTCCAAGCTCAGCAGGAAAGTAGGGGGTTCTCTGCCCCAGGCATGGCTTTCAAATCCCGCCCAGCCCTTCCTAGCTGCCCACACGGGAGATGAGCTGCCCTAACAGTCCCACAAGCTCAGAAGCTCACTAATAGTGCAGAAAAAAGCCTCTCTACGCTTCTTAACAGGGACAGACTGGGGGGAAGGCCGCGGTGCCAGCAGAAACCCAAAAGTACGGTCTTTGAGAAAAGAAGGTGGTTTCCCAGTGCCTTCCTAGCCGCCTGCGGGGGACCCCCTCAGCCCCGTGCCCCAGGGCTGACAGCTAAGGGGAGGGGCCTCAGCCTCCCTCCTGCCCTGACTCGGGGGTCTCTCACTTACCCGCAACACTGGCCCCGCCTGAGCGAGGCCTTTCTGATTCTAGGTCGTTTACCCCGCTCTGGGTCCTCCGGGAGCTCAAGCCAGGCCTGGGCCCCGCGGCCGTCCCGCAGGCTCCGCCAGGGCACACCGACCGCCCTCCCGGATCAGCCCCCGAGCAAGCCCCGACGCTGGCTTAGGGTCGGCTTCTCCGGCGGTCCTCAGCCTCGGCTTCCCGCTGCCCCCAAGAAGCCCCCTGGGGCCCTCCGGCCCTCGAGAAGTCCCGAGGGAAACTGCGCGGGGAAGGGGCGGGACAGGTGTCACCACGGCCTCTCCATCACCGCCACACCAGCCCCAGCGCTCCTCCACGTTTAGACTCTGGTTTCCTCCTTAAGTTCGGAAGAAGGGCGTAAGAAACTGCCCGAGAAGGGCGCCCTCAGTTCCTCGCCACCGCGCCTTCTTTTCCGGGTTATCATTCCACGACCTCGGCCTGGGCGCTGCCACTAGGGCTGCCTTCCGTGGCCTTAACACCCTGGAAGAATGAACGCCTTCAGCTGAACTTCTGGTCCGAGGGGCAAGGGACACCCGCTGACCGGAGAGCAGGGCGCAAAGACAGGGAGCCCCGGCCCGGCTCGCGCAGCGCGCTTCGCGGCTCCCGACTTCCAAGCCCGACCCCCGCGGGCGCCTGGACGCTCCCATCCTCCGCGATGGCGAGGCCGAGCGCTACTAGAAGCAGGGCTGGCGGCCCGGGCGCCCCGCGGGCGGC